TGTAGACAAGTAGGTGTAATCTTCCTGGGGACTGTCTGAGAAGCGGAAGGCTTCCTAGGGTTGTCCTGCCAGAGGACTAGGAAGCCAGGGCATTTATCCACTGACCGAGGTACACATGAACAAGAAGAATAATCACAAAAACCCTAAGGAGAACAAAAAGCTACTTGGGTGAGGGGTTGTGCAAAGCAACACTAGCACGTAATAAAACACATTCTAAAATATCATCATAATTAGAACAGTATGGTATTGGCAACCAAGAGAAAGACAGACACAACAAAGGAAAAGTCTTAAATTAGATTCAAATACTTACCCATACACTAGATAACTCCAAATAGATCAGAGATCCAAATGTAAAAAAGAAAAAGAAAAACATAAAGTACTAGAAGAAACACAAATGAAGTGGGGAAAATTTTCCTAACTATGATGCAAAATCCAGAGGCAGTAATAAATTCAACTACATAAAAAAATTTTTTAAAGACTTTTACATGGAAACATACTACAGGCAAAGTAAAAAAAACACAAAGGAAAAACTGAGAAAAGACACCTGCAATCTGTATCATAATGTACAAAGAGGTCCTGGAAATTTGAGGGAAAAAATAGTCAAATGATATAAGCAGATAGTACATCATAGAAGAGAAAAAACTACTGGGCCTTAAACATAAGAAAAGATGTTCATAATAAGAGAAATGTACACCTAAGCACTACCTCGGCACCATTTCTCACCCACCCGATTGGCAAAAATCTAAAAGTTTGACAACATATTTTGAGGGTAAAACTGTGGGAAAATAGGTCCTCTCATCCGTTGCTGGTGGGAATGCAAAATGATGATGCAATATCTATGGAGGAGAATTTGGTAATATCTAAAAAAATGCATTTGCCCTTTGAGCCAACAAGCTTTCCAATAGATACCTGTCCTATAAATACACTGCCAATATTGCTAAATGACTGAAGCATTAGGTCATTCATATAGGTCATTTGCATACACCTATGCAGATAGGTGTTATTTGCAATAGCAAAAGATTGGAAATAATCCATTAGAGGGTTGGTTAATAAGCTATAGCATATCCACACAAAGGAATTCTATAAAGCTGTTAAAAAATTGAGGAAAAAATTTATGCATAACATGGAGTGATCTCCAAGATAACATTTTTAAGTGAAAAAAGCAAGGTATAGAATAATATATGTAATATGTAACCTCCTGTGTAATAAAGATATAATAGTGTAATAGGAACATATTTATATACATATTTGCTTCATTTTTAAAAATAAAGAACATAATGGGTAAACCCAGAACTAATAAAAGCTGTTAATAGAAAGAAGTGAAAACCGAGTAGAAGGGATAGTGTCTTAGTCAGTTTGGGATTCTATAACAAAATACCATAAGCTAGGTGGCTTATAAACAACAGAAATTTATTTCTGACAGCTCTGGAGACTGGGAGTCTGAGATCAGGGTACCAGCATGGTTGGGTTCAGATGAGAGCCCTTTTCCAGGTTGCAGATTGCCAACTTCTAGTTGGATTCTCATATGACAGACAGAGGGCATAAGAGCTCTCTACAGTCTCTTGTATAAAGACACAAATCCCATTTATGAGGCTCCACCTGATGTAATTAGGGCCCAAATGACCCATCTCCTCATATCATCACATTGGGGGTTAGGATTTCAAAATTAAATTTTGGGGGACACAAACATTCAGTCCATAACAGACAGGAATGGAAGTGAGATTTCTCTGAATATAATTTGTTATGGGGTTTGGCTTTGAAATCATACAAATATAAAAAATAAAATAAATCTAAAAGATGAAAGAAAGCAATTTGAAAACAAACTGAAACAAATGAACACAGCTAGTTGTACACTGAGTTTATGACATAAGCACAGAGAAAAAAACTGTCTGACTTCGGAGTGCGTTATTTTGATGTGTATCCTTAGTCGAATATGCTGTCAAGGAAAACAGAGCTGCAAATAAATCTTAAACTTCCATCCACAAGCAAAAGCACCTTTGTGGGTGTTGTGGGATTTAGCACCACACGCCAAGGCACCCAGAAAGAGTCTCACCCAGTGCATCCAGTAATAGGTGGACAGACCTCAGCATGGGCTGCTGCAGCAGGGGAGCAAGCAAACCAACCAAGGAAGTGAAAGATCTATACAATGAAAACTGTAAGACTTTGATGAAAGAAATTGAAGAAGACACAAACAAAAGGAAAGATATCCTGTGTTCATTGATCAGAAAAATTAATTTTGTTAAAATGTCCATACTACCCAAAGCCATCTATAGGTTCAATGCAATCCCTACTAAAATTCCAATGGCATTTTTCACAGACACAGAAAAGACAATCCCAAAGTGTGTATGGAACCACAGAAGACCCCAAATAGACAAAGCAATTCTGAGAAAAAAGAACAAAGCCAGAGGCATCACACTTCCTGATTTCAA